CCTGTGTCGCAATTCATTTTTGGTTAGTTCAAATTTTTCAGATTCAAAATCTAAGTCTTTAAATCTTGGATCCAGCATAGATGTAATGTATCCCTCTAATTTTGGTTCGTCCCAACACTCACTAAATGACAACTTAATCTCATCATGCACTTTGCAAACAATTGGATCAGTAATAGTTTTTTCTTTTTGAAACAGATGTTCTTGTAGAATTTTAATTAATGGAAGCATCATTGAAAAAGTAGGATAATAATCTCCACTTACTATAGTTGCAATATTTGCAAAAGGACCTAACAATTCAACTAACTCATTGATTGCTAAAAAATCACCTTCATTAAGAAGTAACTTTTCAAGTGCTTTGGCATTGTTTCTAATATCTCTTTCTTTATCTTTTGCAAGATCGGTTTGTAATTTTTTTACAGTTTTATAAAGTTCAAGTAACCGATTTAACAATAAATAGGTGGAATTCTACTAAGTTGTGACGTCATTTAATATTAGATCCAAAACAGAAATATTCTTATTATCTAGTAATGAGTTTTTTATTTTGGCTATTTTGAGTTGTATTAAACGTAATTTTTCTCTATATTTGTTTTTTCTAGCAATAAATGCATTTAGAGCTTTTGCACGATTTATTAGATCAGTTGCTTCTTTTAGACCATTTATAACTCCAAGCTGAATAGTATGAGCTGTATATCGAATATGTAAGATTTCAATATCTCTTAGTGCTTTTACTATTGAGCTAGCATTATCTGTTACGCCTGCTATGCATTTATTACTTAAATCCCATTTAGCTAACTCTTTTCTTAAACAATTTTCGATATGTTCTGATATGTGTAGATAGAGAAATCCTTCAATTGTTAGTAAAGCTTTACATATTTCAAATTCAGGAAAGAGCCAATATGCGGTAATTCCAATATATAGTTGGTGTGCTTTAGTCCACAAGTCAGTAGTAAATGCAAAATATTCTAATATATTATTTATTAAATTTTTTAGACCACTTTCAGAGTAATTTATAGAGTTATATAATTTTTGCTTGAATATATCTTCACTTGGAAATTGAAATTGTGGCTCCACTTCATATAAAATATTCTGAAAACATTCATTCATTAAAATATTAAATGGTTGCATATTATCAATTATCCATGCTAATATTCAGGAAGTAATTTTATTTTGTTTTTTTTTTGGCAACAGTGCTTTATGGCTAACAAATTCAAGTAAAGTAGGTTGTGATAGATCTAATCGAATAGGCTGTAATTTTGATGTTTCTTGTTTACTACTTAAAGATAATAATGATCTACTTTTATCTAATCTATATTCAACTCTAAGATGGCTAGCTAAATTTGTTGTACTGGTTTGAAGTTCAAAAAGGTGCATGCATTGCTTAAGGTTATTATTGTCATCGATTCATTCGAGACATTTAACTGTTATAGAAACTTTGTCTTTTTTCATGTAATTTCATACCCAACTTTTTCCTGGCTTAGTCTTTTTATTAACCTTTATTTTTTGTAAGTTATTAACTTTTCTTTTATTTATATTAGTACTTGGAGCAAGAATACATGAATTTTCTATTAATAAGATAGATTCATTGATTAACGGAAGCTTATTATTTAGGGGAGGTTTATTGTTTAAAGAAGGTTCAACATCTAGAGAAGGTTCATTATTCAAAGAAGTTTCACTATCATAATTTAAGGAAAGTTCATCTTCTAAAGGCATATATTTATTGGATAAGAATGATTCTTTATATAGTGACAAAGATGATTCTTTGATTAGTGATAAAGGTAATTCATTAAAATACATATCTTCATTATTAGAAAAGTTTTTTAAAGACATTTTATTATTTATTGCATATT